TGACCAGCTAGCCGAGCACCGTCCGGCTTCTGGAGCTCTGTCCTTTTAACGCTCTCCCTCTTTATTTTTATGGTTCCTGCACCTTCAGGAAATGACCCTTTTATAGGGTCAACACTATAAAAGACTTGTTTTTTTTGGGAGTGGTTAGTGGACGAGTGTGTGTGTGGGTGTGTGTGTAGTGGGGGTATAAGTGTTGAAGTTACTACCGGTTCGTCTTTGGTGCCAAAGAAAGAGACCTGATGAGGCTAATAGTCTTCTCGTCCAATATATCACGTAGCTGTGAACCCTGTGACCTTTTTTGTCAATAGGACAACTTTTCTCTGGAGTGTGTGTGTGAGACCGGGTGGACGGGGCGCGCACGGCTATCCTTGTGTGTCCAACCAAGAGTGCACATGTGGACATCTGCACTGTCATACCTCGCCGTGTGTGTTGATGTACAAGGCAGTCCGGCCTCGCAGTGCCTCATCTCTGTTGAATGAAAAATGTTGGAAGGTTCTTCTAATAGTTTTTATTGAGGTGCATGAGCAAAATTGATAATAATCAGTTAAAAAGGATTTGTTACTGAGGTGAGAGCGCTGAATACAGGCTTGATGTCTGAACCTCCGTATTTGGTTAAAATCTTGTTTTAAACTGTTACTTACTTACTTTGTTAGTTGATTTGTGCAAATTTATTATACCACGTAACTAAATGATTATTCCTGATCAGTAGAGTTATTAAAACTGTCTACATATATTAAAAGCCCACATTTTGGACAAATTTTTAAAGGTTCAGATGCACAAAACATTGCACAAAATGTTCCCCCTTAAAACCTTCTGTCAACTGAACACTTTTTGTTACACTTCTATATTTCAGATCATCATGTAAATTTCAACATTAAAGTCATCCTGAGGTCATTCAAGCCAACAGTTTCCAATGAATATTTATAAAAGAGACACAGAGTTCACAGAGTTCACCACTGAAATGAAGATTTTGTTTACTTTCACTAGCCTCACCCAGACATGAAGTTCATGAGATGTAGAATCAATAAATTACCCAAATAGTACCTGTCTTACAACATGAAGTAGGCTGCAAGATGTCAGACAGAAACGCATCATGAAATGATGAGCAAAGTCATTGACTTCAATCAGAAAGGCTCAGTGAAGACTCTCCAAAGGCTGCACTGAACTTTATCCACAGTTATAGAAAACGTACAGCCGTGGTGAACCTATAAAAATTACAAGAGGAGAGAATCAGCAACTCATCTGGGAGCTTAGAAAAAGAAACCAGGACAACATCTGAGAGGCTGCAGACCTCAGAGAACTTAATGGCCCGTCTCTTCTCATATTCGCAAACATCTTCAAAGTTTGTTAGGAAAACATTTTGTGGATTGGAGAGACAAATATCTTTTTTTTGTTGTTGTTGAAAGGTGTGCAACCTGTTCGTCTTGTGCAACATTACGACGGCATTTCAGAACGAGAACAGTCAACATGGTGGTGGCAGTGTGATGGTCTGGGCCGATTTGTTGCTGCAGGATTACTAAATAGAGGAACCATAAACTTCAGCAGAAAATCCAGAAGGAGAACATCAGACCATCAGTCTGGCACTTTAAGCTCAATCTTAATGTTAAGTTAAAATAACGACTGTAACTGAATGGCTCAAAAAGCATTAAAGAAACTTAAAGTCCAGATTTAAACCCAGTTAAGATTCTGCGGTCAGACTTTAAAAAGATTGCTAATATCTAATAAAACTACAATGTAGCTGAACTGAAGCAATTCTGCAAAGGAGAACAGAGTGAATTCGTCTCCATTCTTCATAAAAGGCCAGAACCTCAAGTGGGATCACAAGTATTAGTTCACTTCTCCACATGGTGCCAGGTTGGTTTGCAAAGCTTCTTGTTCAGTTAATGAACATAAATAACATTTTTATTGTCTTTGTTTGGTATTGAAATTTTGTTGATGATGTGAAACATGAGAGTAAATGACAAAAAAAAAAAAAGCAAAAACAGAAGAAACGTGCTTTTTAACAGCACCGTAATTAAGTCTGGAACGTTCATATTTATCCAGAAATTTAATTTGCTGGAAAAAGATACAAAATATTCCTATTTTTCTTGACTCCAAGTTGACAACAAGAGACAATAAGCATAAGAATTTTTGTCTCCAGAATGGGAACATTTCAGGTTTATTGCTAATGTTTCCAAGCATTCCCGAGGTGTTTCAGAAAATCTCACCATAAGCGCACAAACAAAGAATGACGCACAAAACTAGGATGAGATAAACAAAGTTTTAAGACCGAGTAGGAATACGGGTTTCTCGAGAAAAACAAACTAAGCTCCAAGCCCGATTGCAAATATTTTAGACTGCATGTCAAATTGTAATAAATAGTGGCACGGTAAATAGCTTAGCGACGAGTGCCTTTTTATGCAGCACGCAAAGAATTTGTGGCAGTAAGCTGTAAAGAGGAAGATAGCGCATAAAATCCTTCACATGGTACATATAGACTCATTTTTCCATGATATTTAATTAGAAACCAGGAAGCAAGGTCCTGTTCAACCCCCACTCCAGCATCCACGTACCTTGAGTGAATACTAAGAAGCAACTCAGGCACAGGTCCAATTCAGAATGTATTGTGTGAACCCCCATGGCCCATCAAAGGCAGTGTGTACAACCATGAAAGGGTGATTGGGCTGGAGGTGCGCAGGGAATAGTGTTTGAAGTTTTCTTTCTATATCAGAGAAAGAGAAAAAGGCATTTATAATCCTGTGGGATTGCTAATCACCATGGGCTAAAAAAAAAAAGAAAAAAGAAAAAGAAAACAGGGATGCACTCGTTCTCTCTTAACTCTTCCACAAGTGCTGGAGGAAAAAGGGCAAAAAAAGAGGAATAAGGAGCTGCGGGGTACGAAGAGGGGAAGGAGGTGGGGGTGGAACGGGAGGGTGGATGCTGGAAGCTGCTGCTGAGGTAAACAGAGGAGGAAAGCAAGTGTTTTAAACATGACCGATTCATCTGGATAATCTCGGTCATTAGCCTCTCCTGCTGGCATCGTTAACGTGCAATTAGGAGGCGTCGCCACGTGCGTCGGCGAGGCACCGAATCCTTTCTAAACACGTCCTGCAAAAGGACGGAAGCAAAAACTTCCAATAAAGTCCAACGACGCCAACGTTCTCCCGTAAACATTTCGAGGTGAACGTAGCGGGAAAAATCCTGATCTGCTTTTCATCGAGCCGGAAAAGGGCACATGGAGAGATTTAGGGTACATGCAAAGCAGCTCGCATCTTGTATCTCTGACGGCTGGAGAGGGATGTCAGCGAGGAAAACTTCGGCACAGCATGATGCTGCCATCGGCACTGATTAGAGCTTGTTTTCCTGAGGAGGTGCTTTGTGTTTTGTGCTTTCCCCTGAACTCTGCAGTCACGTTCACTACATGAGGCTCACATGTCAAATCAGAACCACGTTTTGAAAAATAACAACCTCTGTTGCTTAATGTCTAATGCTCTCTACATTAAACATGATCTCGCCCTAAGTGTTTTTCATCACCTGCAAGTAAGAAAATCATCATCACTAACAGAAAAATACAAAAAAATGTAAATATCTATGTGATGCTTGTCACGTGAGTGACTGAGATAAATAAAAATAAAAGCACAAACAGGACCCCACCCCCTCCCACAGCATGATGCTGCCACCACCAGAAAACACTCTGACCTTTTAATCCTCCACTCAGAAGGACTTCAGAGCATCGAGAATGTGCTGTTCTCCTGACAGATGAGAAAAGACGTTTACATAGCCGCTCACAAAGGCAAGAATTATTATTGGAAGTGCGTGTGCGGAATATATTATGTGTGTAAATGTTGTTGAGCCCCACGATTTGCCAGGAAAAGGTCACACACTCCCCTCGACCCTAAGTGTTTCTCTCTTTGTGTACTTGAGGTTAAGAGAGAGAGAGAGAGAGAAACGGAGAGAGAGAGGGAGAGAGAGAGAGATGGAGAGAGACAGAGATAGAGAGAGAGAGAGAAAGAGAGAGAGAGAGAGAGAGAAACAGAGAGAGAGAAGGAGAGAGAGAGAGATGGAGAGAGAGAGAGATGGAGAGAGAGAGAGAAAGAGAGAGAGAGAGAAACAGAGAGAGAGAAGGAGAGAGAAAGAGATGGAGAGAGAGAGAGATGGAGAGAGAGAGAAAGAGAGAGAGAGAGAGGGAGAGAGAAAGAGAGAGAGAGAGAGAGAGAGAGAGAGAGAGAGAGAGAGAGAGAGAGAGAAAGAGAGAGAGAGAGAGAGATGGAGAGAGAGAGAGAAAGAGAGAGAGAGAGAGAGCGAAAACTGCGCCTATAAACTCCGCATTTAAAAGGCAAGTCCGGCCGATGGGGGGGCCTGCTGCATGACGGGGAACAATGGCAGCTTTTTGGACACACTTTTTCTCACTGCGATGAACAGCAGGGAAACCGGTAGAGGCTCCTATAAAAGACCGATAGAGCACAGCTGTCAGGGCTGAACGGTGATTTTATAAAATGTCTCGGAGGGGCCTGCCTGTGGATTTATGGGAAACTATAAGAGGACGAGCAAATTTCCAGGAGGCAACAACCAGAGGCTCCTTTAATGGGTGACAACTGAAGATTTTTTATTTAAAAGACAACAGGATGCAGAGAGGGCATGTCTTAATGTTTGTCTCTCTGTGCAACACAAACATGGGAACAAGGAAAAAGTTTGACCCCTGAGTGCTAAATATTCTGCCCCATCATCATAACCTCCATCAGCATCAGCATCGTAAAAACTAACGGGCCATTTAGGAGCTGTTTGCTCCTGATTGACATGGGTCCCGATTATTGATTATTCAGATTCGCACCCCATCCTTATTTGACAGCCTCCTCTGAGCAAGTGCGCTCGGCTGGTTCAATCATAAAGCTGCGAGCAGCCAGAGGGAATGTGCAAATCCGACAAAAGAACAGCAGAAGCATCTCCTCTGTCCAGGTTGTCCCAGATCCATTTTACGCGCAAGGACGCACATTTTGGAGACGCACTCGCTGGTTACTTACGCTCCGAGGCCATGGTGATCACGGACTCCGTGGTTGCGTGGTACTCGTCCTCCTCCATGAACTCGTCCTGGGCCGACGCGTCTCCCTGGAAGTCGTGGTGGTCCAGGAGCTGCTGGAGCGGGGGCGCCTTGGGCAGCAGCTGGTTGACCACCTCCCGGCTGATGTTGGGCGCCTGCTTCAGGCGCAGCTTGCTCAGGATCTGGGACTTGATGGTCTCCAGCCGCAGCACCTTGCTTTGCTCCCTCCAAACGCAGGCGGAGCACTCGTGGGAGCCGGCGCCCTCGTCCAGCAGAGACAGCCCCGCGTCCGTGGGCGGCTCGCTGGCAGGAGGCAGCAGCAGATTGGGCTCGTCGCTCCCTGACAGTCCCAGGAAGATGAGCGCCAGTAAGCACGGGAAGAAGTTGTACCTCGGCATGATGATGGAGGAAAGTTTTGTCGCTTCTTTTAGTTGGTTTATTCCTCAGTAAATCCTTTCGGGTCCTCGTCTCAGCCTAAAAAAGCCTCCGAATCATTGACATGCATCTAATCCACAATCAGCCCGAAGTGGGTTGCTTCTCTCTCTCTCTCTCTCTCTCTCTCTCTCTCTCTTTCTCTCTCTCTCTCTCTCTCCCTCTCTCTCTCTCTCTCTCTCTCTCTCTCTCTCTCTCTCTCTCTCTTCTGCAGCAGGAGGTTCTGAAATAAAGTTTTCAACGAAAAGAAAAAAAAAAAAGAAAGGTGCGTTCCAGTGTGTGACCAGCTCTTTTTGATTGAAATGTAAATTATTTGCGTGATGAATGCATAGCCCGGCTCACTCGCAGCGTATGACGGTCGCCGTGGGGTCCCCGGGTGCAATGTGGTCCATGGAGGTGCGTGCGTTGTGCAGAAGTGTCACTGAAAAAAAAATGTGCAAGTGCGGTCAAAAAGGGGCTCTTTATATGTCTCGGCGGCTCGGTGTCGTAATCCGTCTCCATTGGCTAAGATTGCAACAAAAGGCTTTTAGGTCTGTCACCGAGTCAAGAGGGACAGAGCGAAGGGAGGGAGGACGCGCCGTTATGGGAGCGTAAATGTTTTACAGTTCACAAGCAACGCGGCCACATTAGAAATATTGGCCAATTAAGGCGTCGGAACGACGAGCGGCCCGAGCGCCGCGCTTTTCTGCCTCTGAAACGGAGCGCATTGGATATGAGCTGAATGAATGGGCTTATCTCGACTTCACCACATCTCATAAATGACATGAACATTTATGGAGCATTATTAAAAAAACAAAACAAAAAAAACCCCAGAATAATTCTTCTGTTCTTCTGTCTCCAACAAGCATTTTGCACATAATGGTAATAATCATTACCATTAAATCACACACACACACACACCCCCTCCTCCCCCAAACACACATACACACACACACACGCACGCACACACACACACCACACACACACACACACACACACACACACACACACACACACACACACACACACACACACACATATATATATAGACATAGACATAGGCTATAGGAGGAAATGCTTAATATAATAATTTTAAAAAGCATTTAAATGACTAAAAACAACAATAAAACACAGTTTTTCAGCTCCAAATTATAATAGATTGCTATTACACCCAACCCTGTGAAATATGTTTAGTATTATAATTGTATATATCTCGGTGTCTGCGGGTGTTTTGGTAAAAAGTTTTTATTCCAGAAACATTTTAGCTCTTGGAACTGCGTTTCCTGACTCAACACTGACACCTGCTGGTTCAAAATGACAGCCGCAGTTTCTACGGCTTTGTTTTCAAGGCTGTCAGAATCAATATTAAGAGTGTCATCAAAAGGTGAATTTATGTTAGGTTTTTTTTAGTTACAAACGTTATATTCGTGCATGGTATAGAATCATTATTCTCAGAAGGAAATATTCCAAGGATTTTAATTATGATTAAAACACAATTCCCATTTTCAGAAAATGAAAACATCACGTAAACAATAGAAAATGCATATTTGATACAGAAAAATTAAGTTACGGCTTTTAGAGCTATAAAGAGGACTGACTTGATATATTTCACCAGACAGCCACAGAGGATCATTGCTAGAGAAGCTGGATATTCACAGAGAAAGTTGAGTGAAAGGAAAAAGTCTGAGGCACAAGCAACTATGATAACTCTCTGTTTCAGAGAAATGTGATTCACTTCCTTTGCATTTCAGCTGGAAATCAAGAAGACTGAAGGATCACAGTAATTCAAGCTGCGTTTTATTTTCTTGCTACTTTTTCTCGCTGTCAGAAATACCAAAACCTGCTTTAATGATGGTTTTAAAGCTAATCACCCTGCAAATATACCCACCCTAATCAGAAAATCTGCAGAGAATGATCTGAGAAATCTGTGCAACCATTTGCCTTTGGTTACAAAATTTGTTTAGAACCACAAAAGCAATGTGACTCTTTGAAACAAAATGAGTCGTTTTTTAATATGAAAAATTTTTAAGTGTGAAAACAACACATTTTTCTTCCTAGGTTTAGTGTTCCATAATAAAAATATTGAATATTGGAATATTGAATTCCAATGAGCATGACGTTAAACAGAGAATGCAGTTTGCAACCTGCAGACAAAACTTCATTTTAAAGTAATACTTCTTACTCCTTGTGAAAATGCACAAAGAAAACACACAAAAGAAATACTGCACAACTCAACATTTTCAAAGTTATTAAGAACCACATTGGAGAGTCTAATAAGCCACAGGTTGCAGTCCTCAGGTATAGTGGAAGAGAGAGACAATAAACCACAAAATGCAAATGAGCTCAAAGCCAGTGTTAATCTCAGGAGAACCACCAGCAGACCTCCTGCGTAATCGATGAACTGAGTAATTCATCAATTACTAAATTGATACAGTAACTCATTACTTCCTCAGAAAAGTAGCCAACAAATTATTATTAGCTGAATTAGCTGTAAATAAACTAATAAACAAACACAAAGATAAGACCTGAAACACATCGCCCAGTGTTTGTTGCTTGTTGAACAAAATGTCATAAATAAATGAACCTGTTAGCTATTTAATGCATATTTAAGGGGTCAAATTCAACGTTCACGCGGTAAACGTCGGCAATAGTTAATTTCAGCTCGTCACGTGCTCGCTTGAGCTATAAAACACATTTTAACCCCTCAGTCGTGGAGCGTGAGAGGAGGCGTGGCGTTTCGAACTGTTTGGTCCCTGCAGCTTCCTGTAGTCAACAGCCTGGGCGTCGCTGCGCTGCTGCTGCGTAGAAACTGAGCACCTCACAGCAGTCCGGGCCAGTTGGGACCGCGGGCGTCTCTTATATAAAGACAAAACTCGATCTAAAGCGAGAGGGAAATGCACTCTGCCGCGCTGGACAGCAGTGGTTCTCCGAGGAAGCGGACTGTTTCCCGGGGAATGAGCGAGGATGAGTCCCTGCGCTGCATCATAAAGGAGGTGAGGGGGGAAAATCACGGAGACGTCGTTAGCGTTTAACGGCAGAGCCAAAGCCTCTGTTCGGTTAACACAATAAAAATACGACACGCCGAGCATTACGGGCTTGTTAGGCTGGCAAAACAGCAGCTCGCTAAACAAGATACGGTGTTTGGTTTTGGCGTTAGCCGCGCGTCACTTCTCCATTGCTAGCTAATTTAGCCTGCTGTGTTTCGGCTGAATGTGATGCTAACTCCTGTGTTGGTTTCAGACGGAGAACTCCTCCAGGCGGCTGCCCCGCAGCGACAGCAGGACGGGAACCCTGCGGAGGAGGACCGACAGCCAGGTGAGAGGTCAATGCGTTGCCATGATGACTGACCTCCACCCGCCGCTTGTCATCTTTCGTCGTTGCGACACCGGGGTTGAAATCACAGAGCGTCAGCAATGTTTCGACACGTTGTAACCTATTTTGTAAAGCAATGTTTAATCCCTTTCTGCATTGTTGGCATCTTCTAAAAATATCCAAACTGTGTTTCAGGTTCAAAACAGCTTTTGAGTAGTGTTTGTTTAAAAAAAAAATCGGTACAGGATCTATTTATTTAAGTTATTAACTGTCTAGAAATAATTCAAAACGTCATTAACACTGTATAGTGTGAAGCATGTGTGCCAAACTCAAGGTTGGGGGGCCGAATCCGGCCCACTGTCGCTTTTTATGTGGCCCTACAGACACAAACAGAGCCCTCAAGAAAACAATTGTGAGCCTGCAATATTAATATTATCATTTAACCAGTGAAATCAAATGCGTTTTTATCTGTGTTCAGTCAAATTACAATTATACGAAAGGACGTTCAATATTTTGATCTTTAATGAGTCCCAAAATAAAAATGCAGTGGATGCCTTTGGTCTAAAGCAATGGTTCTCAATCCTGTGTGGCAGCAGGGAAACACCAACATGCACAGGACAGTGGGCCTTGAGTTGCAAGCTTGAGATGCACTTTGATCTAAATCCTTGAGTTCAGGCATTTTAGTCATTTCACTGAGGATTTAGGTGCTCAGTGAAGTCCAGTCTGCAAATTTCCTTGCTATGTAACATTGTCACGAATTAAATAAATGGCTTATTACAGGAATTGAGTGACATCCTGATGAGGGAAATCAGCCATTTGATGACTGCTTGTGTTGGAGAAAGGATGCATCTAAAATTTGCAGGGTAGTTCCTCCTGGGGATTGAACTTTGCCATCCCTGTTCTGCAGTAAAGTGTTAGTGGGATACAGCAAAGTGGAAGTGACTGAGAACAGCAGCAACTAAGCCACAAGTGGTTAGCCACATAAAGTCATGTAGCAGGGACAGCTGATGGTGAGGAACAAATTTTGCAGAGCTCATCAACTTTCTGTACAGGCAGATCTCCAAGCTTCATGTGGCTGCCAAACTTTATTCCACCAAGTATGTTGCAAAATGTCCTTTGTAATAACTAATATTTCCACTGTAATAACTAGTAGGTGCTTGATGAGTGAAGTGGAGGTAGTCAGTGAAGTCAGCAGGTGAAAAACAAAGCTTTTATCCTCTCACTCTGCCACCATACAGCTTATTCTGCAGTCCAGTCTGTAGGGATGCACCGATTTATCGATGTTGATTCCCCTAATTTTGGGAGATCCGTGATCGTCCAATTTTTACACGTGAAGCTAATCTTAATGACCGATTTTGTCTACCTCAGCAAAGGTGTTTAAATCTACCGTTATCTTCTTCTGCTCTGCTGAGAGAGGTTTGAGTAGCAGACCGGCCCACCAGATCCGGTCTGTGTATTTGGAGTTAACAGTAATCATCTCACTGTTGGCAACTCATGGACTTTCTTGCTACATTTAGCAACATTTTAGACAAAAACAAATTGGTATCGGCCAGAACTGGAATCGGCAGCTCAGGAATTTAATAGATCTGTAATCGGCCAGAAAACTGCAATTGTTGCATTGGTACTTCTGTGTGTTTACGTTTTAGTCTAGAGTTGGTTTGACAGACAATATGAGAATAAAAACTTGATCAATTAATTGCATAATAGATTAAAATGAGTTCAATAATTTCCATTCCGATGATTAATATTTTTTGAGGGGGAATTTTGTTTATAGAGATTTAATAATCCATTTTATTTATGGCTCAGGTTGTTGTGTTTTACTTTGGATATTTAAAATGTCCTCCAGTTCAAATGGTAAAAACGACAATGTTTATTAGTTGCATTATTGTGTCATTATCAATTCATATTTGAAAATATTCTCAAAACAGCAATATTATTGTTTGGTCTCAA